GGCTTGTAAGGAGTGGTTGGTGTTTCCAGGGAGGAATCAACGCTGCTCTGGGGAACATGGAGGAGGACAACTGGAGGTGGCATTTCTACGACACCGTGAAGGGCTCCGACTGGCTGGGGGACCAGGATGCCATCCACTACATGACAGAGCAGGCTCCCGCCGCCGTGGTCGAGGTGATGGGCGGGGGGCTCTGGGCGCCCTCATGGTCTGTTTCTAGTCAAAAAGAGTCCTGGAAAGCATGTAAGCAATTGAGGCAGATGTGGCCGGCCGAAAGAATGGTGATGAGCAAAGCCCACAAGAGGAGTCTCTTTCCGCCACGAACTGTGCATTACACGTAACGAGAAGACTTCTCTTGATGAAGTGTTGGCATTTTCATAAAATAGGTTACTTTGGGTTTGCAGATTTGTGTTAAAGTTGTTCAGTGTAGATGAGCTATGAATATCTTGACTCCTTTAAGGTAATAAGGTTTTTGTTTGTTTTTATCTTTCACAGCTGGAAAATTACGGCATGCCGTTTAGCAGAACTGAAGATGGGAAGATTTATCAGCGTGCATTTGGTGGACAGAGCCTCAAGTTTGGAAAGGGCGGGCAGGCCCATCGGTGCTGCTGTGTGGCTGATCGGACCGGCCACTCACTATTGCACACCTTATATGGAAGGGTAAGGCCGACCCCGGTCCACCTGAGACAGGACATGTAGTGCTGGGGCTTATGGTGACAGTGGGGAATGGGTTAACGTGCCCAGTGAGTCCGCCAGAGATTATGTAAAAAGCTACAGAGAACAACGGTGTAGGACACATGCAGTGACTGTTGATGTGAAAGGACCAGGCATGTGCTGTGAGAAGCTGTCCCTAAGGCAATATGTTATTTCTTGTATCTATTTTGGAAAGTTGAATTGATAATCTTATATACCAGATTTTTAACTTGGGATGTGTGATACTCAAAATATTAGAACAGAGCAAGCAGGCCAGGCACAGTGGTTCACATCTGTAATCCCAGCACTTTAGGAGGCCACGGCAGTAGGATCACTTGACACCAGAGGTTTGAGACCAGCCTGGACAACATAGCGAGACCCTGTCTCTACAAAAAGTTTAAAAATTAGCTGGGCATGGTGGTACATGCTTGTAATCCCAGTTACTCAGGAGGCTGAGGCAGGAGGATCACTTGAGACCAGGATCACTTGAAACAGTGAGCCATGTTCATACCACTGCACTCCAGCCTGGGCAACAGGAGACCTGTCTCAAAAAAAGAAAAAGAAGTATTTTAAGGCTGTTTTACCACCTCTGAGTTCCTGAATGGGTTGGTTTTGTTTTGTTTTTTGTTTTGTTTTGTTTTGCTTTGTTTTTGAGACGGAGTCTCACTCTTGTCATGCAGGCTGGAGTGCAATGGCACAATCTCTGCTCACTGCAACCTCAGCCACCTAGGTTCAAGCGATTCTCCTGCCTCAGCCTCCTGAGTAGCTGGGACTACAGGTGCACACCACCATGCCTGGCTAATTTTTTGTATTTTAGTAGAGACAGGGTTTCCCATGTTGCCCAGGCTGGTCCCGAACTCCTGAGCTCAGGCAGTCCACCCGCCTCAGCCTCCCAAAGTGCGGGGATTAGAGGCATGAGCCACCACACCCAGCCATGGATTGTTTTAATATTAATTGTTATCACTGGACAAAGACTTGAGGTGACAATAGTTACTGGGTAATCAAGGTCAACTTTGGCATGGCCAAATAATATTCTGAACAGTATTGATTCAGAGTATTCAGTATTCTGAACTTTATTGTTTTCTGATGAATGGGGACAGACCATTAATTTGCAAGTTGTTAGAACACCAGTGCCTTCTCTGTGGCTGAGTGCATGGACGAGTGTGTGGTGGGAGGAGAAAGCAGCTCCGTCCGGAGCAGGAGCTGTCATGTGGGGAGCTGGCCCAGGCTTACGAGGGCAACTTGCACTGGCTGAGGGAACAGCAGGTCCAGGTGGGCAGCGCTGTCCAGTGCCTACCTTTCTGCAGTGCTGGAATCTGCTTGTCTGCAACCGTCCGCGTTGGGAGCTGCCAGCCACATGTGGCTGTTGCTAATGTGGCAGGTGTAGCTGAAGAGCTGAACGTTTGATTTATTTTAATTAATTTAGTGGTTGTGTGTTGCCAGCAGCTCCCACCTGGGCTGTGACCCCATGGTCTGTGGACCTCACTCTGGCACCAAACTCTAAGCGGAGCTGCCTGTGGCCACCAGACAGTGTGGAGTGCCTCTTCGGGTTGTGTAGAAATAGGAAATGAGTCACCAAAGTAGGAGCTGTTGCTGCTGCGTTCTCTAGCGCACTGCCTTGTCTGTGCTGCGCGGTGTGGAACGCCTCTCGGGCGCTGACAGCGTCCTTGACTCTGTTGCTGATCTCCTTGGATTTACCTGGTCCATTTGGATCAGGTTGTTTCACCTATTCACACGAGCAAATACCACCTTAAAACCTTACAGGCTGGCTTAACACTTCCTGCCCTTTTTTTTCCTTTCTTTTAGTCTCTGCGATACGATACCAGCTATTTTGTGGAGTATTTTGCCTTGGATCTCCTGATGGAGGACGGGGAGTGCCGTGGTGTCATCGCACTGTGCATAGAGGACGGGTCCGTCCATCGCTTAAGAGCAAAGAACACTGTTGTTGCCACAGGGTAGGACTCTAATTCTACTTTATTTCATTTATAAAAATGAATAACTTTCATTTAGAGTTTCTTTATTTTAATGAAAATAGAGGCATTGTAGAGTAACGGTTCAGACACAGGCCTTGATATAACCTTGTGAGGGTGATGGCCTCTCCCAGCCGTGGTTGCTCACCTGTAAAGGGTAAGGACGGGAGCACCTGCCTCAGGCGGCGAGAAAGCATGGCCCTCAGTAGACGGGGGTGGCTGCCATCAGGTTCACAGCTTACCTCTCCCGATTTTAGATGAGGAAACTGCGGCCCGAAGAGTCCCATGGGGGTTTCTGGCAAAATCCCTCTTGTTTTAGTGGGTACTGTGTTAATACTGATTCCTGGGATGGGTAAGTCCTTCTTCTCCACATAATGAAAATAAGTAACTTTAATTTTATACACTGTCAGTTACTTTAACCATTTTCAAAGTAAAAACTGTCAGTATAGCGAAGGAAAAAATCAGCAAAACTACAGGTTGGAAAAAAATATTTTCCAAACCTTATATCTAATAATATCTTAGTATCTAAAATAGAAAAAAAAAAAACCCTAACCCTACTAAAAACAACCTACTAAACCCTACTAAAAAACAACTCTACTAAAAATGGGCAAAGGACTTGAATAGATATTTTTCCAGAGAAGACAAACAAATGGCCAATTGATGTATGAAAAAATGCTCAACATCACTAAGCACCAGAGAAATGCAAATTAAAACCCCAATGAGACATCATCTCATCTCACTCCAGGTAGAGTGGCTGTTACCAAGAGGACAAAAGAGAGCAAATGTTGGTGAGGATGTGGAGAAAAAGGGAACCCTGTGTGCTGTTGGGGGGAATGTAAATTAGTACAACTGTTGTGGAAATTCCTCAGAATTCACAGGACTACCATGTGCTCCAGCAACCCCATTTCTGGGTGTATATTCAAAGGGCATGAAATCAGAAGCTCAAAGAGACACCTGGACCCGCATGTTCATTGCAGCGTTGTTCACAGTTCCCGAGATATGGAAAAAACCTAAGTATGTGTTGGTGTTTAAGGAAAATGTGGTGTGTATATGCAACTGAATATTACTCAGCTGTGAAAATGAAGGGAATCCTGTCATTTGTGACAACAGGGATGAACCCAAAGTCATTATGTTAAGTGAAACAAGCCAGGCACAGAATGACAGATACTGCATGTCACTTATATGTGGAATCTAAAAAAGTCAAAATTCATGGAAACAGTAGGACGGTGGTTGCCAGGGGCTGGGGGAATGCAGACTGCAGCGATGCTGATGAAAGGTGTGACTTCTCGTTACCAGGTGAGGTTCAGAAGGTCTAATATATAACATGGTGGCTATAGTGAATATTATACAGCACGGTGGCTATAGTGAATATTATACAGCACAGTGGCTAGAGTGAATATTATACAGCACGGTGGCTAGAGTGAATATTATACAGCACGGTGGCTACAGTTAACATTATACAGCATGGTGGCTATAGTGAGTATTATACAGCACGGTGGCTAGAGTGAATATTATACAGCACGGTGGCTAGAGTGAATATTATACAGCACGGTGGCTAGAGTGAGTATTATACAGCACGGTGGCTACAGTTAACATTATACAGCATGGTGGCTATAGTGAATATTATACAGCACGGTGGCTAGAGTAAACATTATACAGCATGGGGGCTATGGTTAATATTATACAACACAGTAGCTAGAGTTAATATTATAACTTGAAATTTGCGAACAGAGTAGACCTTAAGCGTCTGTATCTCCAAAAAAACGATAATTGTATGAGGTGATGGATGTGTATTAACTTGATTGTGTCATCAGTTCACAAAATATATCAAATCATCACATTGTACACCTTAAATATATACACTTTTGTTTTTTATTTTAATTCATCAATCATACCTCAGTAAATCTGGGGAAAAAAAAGCAAAATCCATAAAAATTTTTAAATTGTTATTATAAAAGTAGTGTATGCTTATTGGGGAAATCTTTTGAACAGCACAAAGCTAAAATACAAACAGGGCCAGGCGTGCAGTGGCTCATGCCTGTAATCCCAGCACTTTGGGAGGCTGAAGTGGGAGGATCACTTGAGGTCAGGAGTTCGAGACCAGCCGGGCCAACATGGCGAAACCCCATCTCTACTAAAAATACAAAAATTAAATGGACGTGGTGGTGCACACCTGTAATCCCAGCTACCCGGGAGGCTGAGGCGGAAGAGTCACTTGAACCTGGGAGCCGGAGGTTGCTGTGAGCTGAGATCGTGCCACTGTACTCCAGTCTGGGCGACAGAGTTAGACCCTGTCTCAAAATAAATAAATAAAATACAAATGGAAGTCCCTTCTCTGATCCCAGGCTTCTGTCTTACCCGCACAGGGTGGCAGCCCCACTGGTGTGGCCCCCAGTGATGTGTGTGGGGTGTGCGTGAGTAGGGGGTTGTGTGCACTGAGAAGACGGTGCCCGGGGGCTGCTGTGTCCAATCTGTGATCTCACCAGACAGGAGGTCCGGACGTGGGCCGCTGTGTGCAGTCACTGCTGTCTGTTGTTTCCAGAGGCTACGGGCGCACCTACTTCAGCTGCACGTCTGCCCACACCAGCACCGGCGACGGCACGGCCATGATCACCAGGGCAGGCCTTCCTTGCCAGGACCTAGAGTTTGTTCAGTTCCACCCCACAGGTAGGGCAGGACACCTTGCCTGGCAGGCGTTCAGCTCACATGTGTCTTGTAAGCTGTACTTGTAAGTTGTAAGCAACTACTCATTGCTCCTCCATAGTTTTATGTGGTAACGTGGTTTTGAAGATCAGCTTTCTCAGCTCTCAGGTCCTCACTTCAATGTCATTTCCTTAAGGAGACTTTTCCCACACTTCCCTTCCCCTAAGGCAGTTTGGGCCAGCATCTTATGCATTTCTGAAGAGCCCTAAACCCTACGTTGGTGATACTTCTGCCAGCAGTAAAGCAGGGATTGAGGCCAGGCGCGATGGCTCACACCTGTAATCCCAGTACTTTGGGAGGCCAGGGCGGCCGGATCACCTGAGGTCAGCAGTTTGAGACCAACCCAACCAACAAGGTGAAACTTCATCTCTACTAAAAATACAAAAATCAGCATGGCGTGGTGGCATGTACCTGTAATCCCAGCTACTTGGGAGGCCAAGGCAAGAGGAATACTTGAATCTGGGAGGCAGAGGTTGCAGTGAGCCAAGATCGCACCCCTGCACTCCAGCCTGGGCAACACAGTAAGACTCCGTCTCAAAAAATAAAAATAAAAAAGTAAAGCAGGGATTGTTCAGTGTCCCTCTTCGCAACGAGGTCGTCAGCTCCTCGGGCAGGCAGGTCTTCTCATTAGCTGGGGTGGCCCATGCCCAGCACGTGGCAGGGTCTCCATCAGGGTTTGCTGAGTGAGCGTTCTGAGAGCTAGGAGAATGCCGTGGAACCCAGAAGCAGCACAGGCAGATTTCAGCTTTGTAGGAGAACACGGAGCTTCCGCGATAATGGGGTGTAAAGTTAGGGCACAGCCGTGACAGAACCTCGTGTGACGTTCGGACGTTGGGGCTCAGCCCACACGACCACTGAGGGAGCTTGTTGTGGGGAAGATGCGCTCATCTTGGGGACGTCTGACGGTTGAGCTTACAAGTATGCAATTTGGAGACATTAACACAGAAATGACAGTTGAAGTCTTGAGTTTGGGGGAGGCTCTTCAGAATGAGTCAGAGAGAGACACACACATCTGCCTCTTGTTTGAGGTGACTCGTCCTGGACTTCTCTGGGTTGCTTTTCTGGCCTGTGGACGATGGAGACCCCTGAAGTGGTGCTCAAGAACCAGACCTGTGCTTCTCTTTCTCTGTCAGTGTCGGCTTTCTGGTCCCTGGAAGGGATGAAAATAAGAAATGAATTTGTTGTAGGTTTTTTTTTTTTTTTAATTTGTTTAGAGACGGGGTCTTGCTCTGTTGCCCAGGCTGGAGTGCAGTGGAGCAGTCTTGGCTCACTGCAGCCTTTGTCTCCCAGGCTCAAAG